CCACTCTCTATAGATCTCTAGTTGGTGCCCTTCAATACTTAACCATTACGCGTCCTGACATCGCCCAAGCTGTTCACTCTGTCAGTCAATTCCTGCATGCCCCAACTACAGATCACTTTCTTGCTGTCAAACGTATTTTACACTATGTCAAGGGCACACTTCACTTTGGCCTGTTTTTTCGCCCTTCAGATGTTTCTAGTGCCCTAGTTGCTTACTCTGATGCTGATTGGGCCCAGATACTCGCCGCTCCACCTCGGCTACTCTATTTATCTTGGCGATAATGTAGTTTCTTGGAGTGCTAAGAAGCAACCCACTATTTCCCGTTCTAGCTATGAGTCTGAGTATCGCTCCCTTACCACTACTGCAGCTGAACTCCTTTGGCTCACCTATCTCCTTCATGATCTCAAGGTTTCCATTTCACAGAAGCCTATTCTCTTATGTGACAACAAAAGTGTGATCTTCCTAAGCTCCAATCCCGTTTCCTACAAACGGGCAAAACATGTTGAATTAGATTACCATTTCCTTCGATAACTTCTTGTTGATGGCAAACTTCGCACTCAATATGTGCCCTCTCATCGACAAGATCTCTTCACCAAAAGTGTCTCTCGACCTCTCTTTGAATTCTTTCGTACCAAGCTTCATGTCTGTTCGAATCTGACACTCAGCTTGAGGGGGGGTGTCAAGGATAATACTGTGATTGAGGAGATCACTCCTCAATCACAGCCTTCTCATAGCATGCCAAAGGCAGTCACGTAATTGTAGGAGAATTATTTGTAAAGTTTCTATTTTATTGTCCATGGATTGATTTGTATTCCATTTCCATCAATATGTAAGGACTTATATAAAGCAATATGACTTACCACTAAAGCAAGGTGGATTTTAATCAATCTTAGACTTGATCTACAATCTCTTTAACTATGGGTTCAAAATGTGGGCATCTTTCCTGGTAATACCCTACTTTCAGACATTGTCCATTTGCCACAATATTGAAAGCAAAAGCTCGCGTAATTAATTGATAAAATAAGATGCTTATTGAAGCAATGCAGTAGTATGAAGTATTAATTTCTTATATTTTGGTACTGAAATTATGTAGAATGATTGCATCATTTTATAGTAAGACCTCTACCAAAAACCCTTTGAATCTGTCATTGCATGGCTTTCGCTGATGTGATTGTTCTTCAAGTTGTATTATTATCGATCATTTTTTGGATAAAATAAAATAACCGATGGACCAAACAATTAGGACCAACGTGGCGATGAAAGAAGATGACAACTTATTTGGGTCCAAATTAAAATAAGTCAATTTTGACCTAGATATTAAGCCAAATTGATTTCTATTATTTTCAAAAGATATATTTTTCTCTTATTTTCAACCACACATTGTTTAATAAAATAAAATTACACGCAAATTCAAAAAAATTACACACACTCTCCATCAAAATATTATTTTAAAATATATTTTCATAAATAAAAATGGAGCTCAAACAGGATACAATTTTATTGATTAAAGTTGGGAAAAATTAATTTACTAATTTTGAAAGTAAGCCTCCGTTTGATGGCCATCTTTTTTTTTTTTTTTTTTTTTTTTTGTAGAATGAGTTTTTAAATATTAATTTTTTGGAGAATGTGTGATTAAAAAATTACTATTTGATTGCCATTCTTTTGAACAAATAAAGTTTTGAATAGTTATTTTTTGGAGAATGTGTGTTAAAAAGTAGGGCCTAGTTTTAAGTTTATATGCAAAATATTTTATTGTGTAACTGTGCTATGAAAATAAATGTGAAAATTAAAGAGATTTGAAATAATGGTTGTCAAATAGAGATAAAGTATGAAAATATTTTAGATTTGTGTAAAAAATATTTTATTGTGATCAGAATGTGGATTAAAAATGAGTATGAGAAAAAATTGAAAGAATGGTTGTCAAACAAATGCTAAATTTTAGAATTAAACTACATGTACATTCTTGATTGACACAAAGAATGACATCCCCCTAGATGGAATGAATGTTGACATTGATGGGATGAATGTGTTTAAAATCAATGGTATCGGTTGCTACCACATGAAAAAATATAAAATTTGTTGTCAACAATGATATACATGTAGCATGATTATAAATTTTATTGCATAGGTCTTGGCAAATGGAAATGCAGATATGAAGGTGTTTGCTTGACTTAGTCATAGTCTACAGACCAATTGTTAAAGTTAAAAGAAAAAATAAGTAAACTTCTATTTGAACATTTAAGCTTAGCCAAACAAGCTTAATGAAAATAAGTCCAATTCTTCAGTATGTTTTACTACATAATTGTTTTCAATATCATGTATCAAATGTGTCCCATTTGTTTAATTATACCCATGTTGAACCCAATACAAATATATGTCCCTACGGCTAAAAATTTTGATTAACATCTAAGTCAAAGTAAATAATTAATTTTAACCACATGTTTCATAGGCTCCATAATTTTTCGATCACAGATTCAATCAATTTTTATCAAAATTTACTAAAAATCTGATTTTAATATCTATAAAGGATGGCCTATATTTTTTTTATTGCTTTTATAAATTAAGGTTGGCTTACGGTTTGGTCCGTAATACATTAGTACGCTGGGGATAATTTTTTTTGGATAGACCGATAGAGGCATTTCATTTTATTTTTTTTAAAAAAAGGACTAGCTAAAAAATTTCCTAGAAATCTATGAGTTAACTAACTACATGTCAATTATTGCCAAAAAAAAAATGGGAATTAATTGCTTCATTTCCTGTTGAAATATTAGAATTAGCACAGTGGTATTTATGTCAATTCACCTCTTTTCATCTGTTTGGTTAGTTAGGAATTGTATATATATGTTGTTTCCATTCATTGTATAAGTGTGATTTCATTTTCAATTGAATCAATTGAATTTTCCTGCCTTTCACTTCCTATCAATTCAGATTTCAACATGGTATCAAAGCTAAAAGCTCCTTCCGTATGCGATTCTGTTGTCTTCTTCTTCTTCTGAATTATATCATTGATAGATTACGAGAGACTCTAGTGTTCAAATGGAGGTTCAAAGTCAATTTAAATAGACAAACTCATTCATCAAATCGTCAGCTGAAGATCCAGCTGGAGGTAAATTCAATTTTTTTCCCCTTTTTTAACTACACGTTCTCCAAAAAATTATTATTGCAAAATACATTTTTCCCCAAAAAAAAATCATTATTGCAAAATTCATTTAGAAACGCTTTTTATTAATTTTTCATGTCTCACAATACCATGATCAATGTGTGTCTTTTATGGGGGTGAAGGTACTCGATTCTGTATTTCCTTGTTTTGTTTCTTTTCTCGAACTCCACTTTCACATATGAAAAAAATATATATATATACTTAAAATTCAAGACTAGTGAAAAAATTTAAAAATGAATAAAAGACCGTGACATATTTAAACCACGTACATCATATTATAATATTCTCATTATATTTTAAATGTTACGTCATTGAATTGATAATATATTTATCATAATGAGAATTAGTAGTGTATAGACAGGACTATTTGCCTTTAAAAAATATGCTCAACAAGACAACTAAATTTCCAGGTAAATCCATCTAGTAGGGTTTATAGATTTCATTCGCCACAAAAATATGTTCCACAAGAATAGAGGTAAAGGGATTCGAGTGGGAGAACATGTCGTATAAAACAAATCGATCTTGCTTGAATAAAGGTATTAGGGACGATTGAACATTTTATCTTAAAATTTATAACTGAACAGCTCAATCTTGGTTTCAGGGACACAAAGTAATTTTTTTCCCTTAATAAGTAAGTACACATTTTGGCAACACAATGAACACAAGAAATATAAATTAATTTAAAGAACAAAAAGGAAAGAAAATCGATATATAAATACTGTCATGCTCTATCAAATTCGGATTCTTTTTTCATCAGAAAGAAAATCAAGCTCAATCACTCTTGCACTTGATGAAATAAGAGCATCTTTGATCCCCTTGACCTGATATATTTCTTAATCGTGTACTTCAAGTGAGACTAACCTTTCTTTCATTCACCTCTTTTAGTCCGAAAGACGTAAGAATTATCCTTTCAGATTGATTGCAGCCACTTAGTTAAAATGCGAAGAGGGCATTTAAACTCGCTTCATCTCTATTTGATGACTTGTTTTGCATAGATCTCAATACTCACTGTACAATTTCTTTAAGTTTTTTTTTTTTTCGTAAAAAGTCCTATTTAATATGTTACATTAATCCTAATCGAATCATGCTATAGTGCTAGAAAAGATTGATAGAAAAATTGACATGATGTCATATGATATTCTCTCATTTGACCGTTTAAAACACAGTTAATTTTTTTATCCAATCATCTTCTGTCACCACTTCATATGTCGCTGTATCTATCAATTCTTCATGACAAAGTGGCATTATCCTAATCATTATCGATTACAATGAATAACCTAATTAAGAGTCTCTCAATTCCAACTCTCTCTCTCTCTCTCTCTCTCTCTAATCATTCTTGGAATTCCCTTTGTCTTCCTCTCTCACTAATCAAACCTTCTCAATCCCCACACCCAACCATCATATGTATACATTCATACACACCAAGGGATCTCACAGGATCAAGAATGAAGAGAAAATCATCATACCAAATTCCAAATCATCTAAGTTTTCCTTTGAATGAATGAAGAGAAAATCATCATACCAAATTCCAACCCACCAATATTGATTTTGTAGCAGTTGAAAAAAATTAGACAATGATGGAGCCTTGTGAATTAAGCTTTCTGTTTCTTATCATTCACGAACAAAATTGTTTTATCATTCGTATGAACAAACAAAGTCAACTAACTTAGGTTGTGCTTTGTTTTGATGCGTCGTTTGGATCAGATGGTGGACACTAATTAAGCAACTTTGAGAAACCCGCCAAACAACTCGTCCACCAATCCCTTTCTTTCTCTTAATTTCGATCCTTAATCTTTCGTGAAACTATTAGAATTCTCTCTCCTGCATAATCTGGTGGGAAATGACTGAAAATCCAAAGCTGGTGAGCATAATTTTTCCCAGTTTTATTTCCTTCTTTATGCTGGTTTTTCCTTTTTTTTTTTTTTTTTCTCTTTTTTGTGCGAAATTCTTGTATTGAACAAAACACCTACAGTCTGCATATCTTTATACACAAACGTAACCGTCTATTATTATTTTGTTATTTTAGGGAACAATGTACTCTCATAATCTAAGAGCAGATTGTGAAGCTGGTGAACGTTCTGATCATGTCAATGGTTTGCCATACACAACCATTAAATCTGATTCCTTTGTGTTAGATATCGAACGCTTAGAGAAAGATATTAATGCAAATTCAAGAATTAAAGTAAGTTTTTTCTTTCTTAGTTTGTTCTTTTTCTGGGATTATGCCTTTATTCTTTCCCTTTACTTTGGCTTTCTTTTTGTTTAGATTTTCCAAAAACAAACTATCTATGCGCCAAAAGAAAAGGGCTATTCTTTTTGTTTATGTGTGCCCTTTGGATGATAAGTTGCAGAGAAGCCTTCCAAGAAAAGGGACATTCAGAGGAGTCGAGAAGAAAAATACAGCCAACAAGAAAGACATTAGTGTCATTGCAACTTCGCCGAGAGGTAACCATTACTCTTTTTTTTTTTTTTTGTTTCTTTTGTCCTTTTTAGTCTTCACGAATTCATATGTTTTTGCTCCACCTCTCTACCCCTGCCGTTAGATTCACTAATGTCCAGTCGAAGTAGTCCATTTGATCCAATTATGAGAAAGTTCGTATAAAAATGGCCACCGTGTTCATGAATGTTTGTATATTTGTGTTTCTTGGTTCCTATGGCATGGTAGGGGCCAAAACATGCTTAGGTCACAATCGGGACACCATTTAAGGACACTTCACACTTGTGTGTACTATCTTGTATTCATGTGCTTAAGGACAATTCTGTACTATCTTGTATTCAATTATTGTCGGATATTGATGCAAATGATAGGTGATGGACAGCTATAAATCATTAAATTTTAATCAATCAGCCCCCACGTACCTACCTGTATATGCCCACATCCTCTGTTACTCTCATGTTTCTGCATTATCAATCGAGGAATTAGGACTTGGTTAGTAAATTGAATACGTAATCAGGATGTGGATTTCTTAAATTTTCACAAGTGATTGCGAGGAGACTTGAACGCTAAACTAAGGCAGCCAAGTAACACTTATGATGCAATTTTAATTAGGTTCGATATCTAGGTTATTAGATTGGCACCGCGATTATCAATGATATCTCGATCAAGATTAATTACTCGGTATCCAATTGAGAGTTAATGAATTTTTTATTTATTAAATTCTCGAGTATTCACAAAATAAAAATGATATTAAGCCTCTCTTTGTTCACCTTAATTCGGCTGCATTGTAAACTTTGATCCAATATACCCCTCTTCTAGCTTAATCTTTTAGTAAGGTCATCAACGTAGAAAAGTTTAAAGTACAAACACATTATGAAAGTCTTATTTCTTTTCGTTCGTGTTAGAATTTGGGTGTGACCCGAATTTCTTGTTTGAAGTATCGAAGAATTCTAATTGTAGTGAACATCAAGAAGAATTCAAGTTTGAAATATTATTGGAGTCCTATATCAAGTTGAAATTCTATTTTGGAAGCCTATTGGGAGTTGGAAATTGATATTATACTTGAAAAAGAGTTCGAAATGGAGAAAAACACTTTGGAAGCATGTTTTGGAATATTAATCCGAAACCTAGCGCCTGAGCGCTGCTACAGTACATGTTCGCAATTTTTCTCTCATACTTTGTTTTGGACTCGATTTTTTGGCATCCTACTTCATCAACAACTCTACCAAAGGGTTTGGCCTTCCCCTACATGTTTCCTATAAATAATATACTCTTCTATACAATTTGTGTAACAATTACATGTGACAAAATAGATTACTAGAATTATAGGATTTATTGTAATTTTCTCTCTTCTCAATTTTTGTTGGTGCAATAAAATCTCTTAATTCCTCTATCATATTCTATTCTTCTTTTATTCTTTTGTTTGATCACATATTTCATTATTATTTGTCATATAACTTCAACATTTCAATCCGGTGATTGACGTCACAACAAATGGTATCAATCCTAACAAATGGTATTAGAGCCAAGGTTTAGCAGTTCCGCAAGAGTATAGGGTTTGATTTGTTCGAAGTTTTTTTTTGTGATGACTTCCATGAAATATGACATTCGGCTTTTGGATCGGAAAACTAGATTTTCGCTATGGCAGGTTAAGATGCATACAGTGCTCGCACAGCTGGATTTGGATGATACGTTGCTAGGTATTGACAGGATGCCAGCAACTTTGATCACAGAAGAGAAATTACGAAAGGATAAAAAGACAGTTTCTCACATTCATCTTCATCTATCAAGTTTCATTCTTCAGGACGTTTTGAAGGAGATGTCAGCAGCTTCTTTTTGCTTTAAGTTTGAGCAATTATGCATGATCAAAAGTCTTACAAGCAAATTGCATCTCAAATAGCGATTATACTCTCATCGCATGGCAGAGGGAGGATCATTGCAAGATCACATGGCCGTATTTAAGGAAATCGTCGCTGATTTAGAAACATTAGAAGTTAAGTATGATGAAGAAGATTTGGCTTTGATCATATTGTGTTCATTGCCTATTTCTCTTTCTTTATTTAGAGACATGATTTTACATAGTCGTGATACTCTCACCATTGAGGAAGTTTATGATGCTTTGTTTTCAAAAGAGAAGATGAAACATCTGGTTTCTGAGACTAAAGATGCAGAAGGCATGGTTGCTCATTGTGATTTTGGAAGGGACAGATCGAAGTCTAAATTCAGTAATCAAATTTGTAACTATTGCAAGAAGAAAGGGAACTTGAAGAAGGATTGCTAGAAGTTGCAGAATAAAGAAAAGATGGCTGCAAGTAGACATTTAGATACTTCAGGCGAAGTTACTTCAGGCGAAGCAGACATCACGGAGAACATTGATGGAGATATCTTGGCTATTTCTGACGTCAAATCTAAATCAGATGATGATTGGATTCTGAATTCATCGTGTGTATTCATATGTGTCCTAATAACGACTTATTTACTACATATGAAATTGTTTTCAAATGTGTCGTGGTTTTGGGAAATAATGCACCTTGTCGTGTTGCTGGAATTTGTACGGTTAGATTGAAACTTTTGGATGGAACAATTAGAACACATGGCCAGGTTCGACATGTTCCAGATTTAAAGAAAAATCTCATATCTTTGTCTATCCTTGATTCAAAAGGTTATGAGTTCTTTGGTGGTGGAGTTTTGAAGGTTTGTAAGGGTGCCCAGGTTATATTGGAAGGACAAAAAAGGTCTCAATTATACATCTTGTAGGGTCGTGCAGAATTTGAAAGAGTCAATCAGCACATGTTCAGTACTGTGGTAGACATTCAGTTTGGTACAATACCTTTAGGAGCTCATAAAGGGTCAGATTTGAAGAATATAGCTTAGTGGAGTTTTGAAGACATAGATAATACCGCTTTGCCACCATCACCTTCAATGCCATTGTATTCAGTTGCTAGAGTTAGACCCAGTGGAACAAGGTATGTGGATGTTGATTTTATTGAGCATACTTTAAGTGAAGAAAAAGGTGTCCAATCAAGCAATGAACCTTCATTAGAAGCATTTGGTAATGATTCTACTTTGGGGTGTGTTATAGCCCATTTTGGTTAATTCAAAATCATTATGATTTTTTTGGAATCTGAGATAATTTTGCAGAGTAGTGTTTGGATTCATTGGAAGAGGTGGAGTATCTTGTGTTTGGTTGGAGAAATTTATTTTTTGGTTATTGTTGAATAAGTCAATTCATTCCTTTGTGGAATTCGTATCAAGGTGAAAATTGTTAGAATTTGGGTGTAACCCGAATTTCTTATTTAAAGTATTGAAGAATTATAATTTTAGTAAACATTAAAAAGAATTCAAGTATGGAATGTTATTGGAGTCCTATATCAAGTTGAAATTCTATTTTGGAAACCCATTGAGAGTTGAAAATTGATATGAGATTTGAAGAAGAGTTCGGAATGGAGAAAAACACTTTGGAAGCATGTTTTGGAATATTTATCCGAAACCTAGCGCCTAAGCGCTGCTATAGTACCTGATCGCAATTTTTCTCTCCTACTTTGTTTTGGACTCTATTTTTTGGCATCCTACTTCATCAACAACTCTACCAAAAGAGTTTGGATGTCCCCTACATGTTCCCTATAAATAGTAGGCTCTTCTATACAATTTTCGTAACAATTACATGTGAGAAAATAGATTATTAGAATTATATGATCTATTGTAATTTTCTCTCTTCTCTATTATTCTTGGTGCAATAAAATCTCTTAATTAATTCATCTACCATATTCTTGTATTCTTTTATTCTTTTGCTTAATCATATACTTCATTATTTTTTATCATATAACTTCAACATTTCAATCCAGTGATTGACGTCACAACAAGTGGTATCAATCCTAACAGTTCGGGCTACACATAATTTGCATTATGGGAAAATTTGGGTGATGGCTAGCTAACATATTCTGCATGTTACTAAAACTGCAGCTGCTTTACATGGTGGTGGCACGTCGGAAAAGCCTCTAATTGTAGCTACTGGCAGCTGCGATGATTTCACCAACCCGCCAGTTCACAATCAGATCACTATCATGGGAAACACTGCCGTCGAAAGCAAATTTGGTGGCAAAAGATTCAGATTCCCACGGTCTTATTCTCCGTCATGGACAACTGACCCCAGAAGGATACTCGTCTTCTTTGCAACTCTGTAAGTTGTTCTTCATTTCTTTTCGTCACCACCTAAGAAACTCACATTTTGCAGAGGTTCTCATTTCTACAGGTCAAGCATAGGGACCATATTACTGATCTATTGCACCTTACACATGAGCAAGCACAACATGGATTACAATGCTCTCGATTGATAATTATTAGCCTCCCAATCCCCCACCTTTACTTCTTAGGGGCGCTTCATGAAGACTTGGTTATAATATTTGGCTGCTTGTGCTACAAACAGAGTTGCTCCGACCTTCCATTGGCATGGGCTTCAAATTCGGCAGATTTCACTTTTTTCAGCCGAACTAATTTTCTTGACAATATAATCTTTGAACAAGACAACAGAAGATAGCATAAAGACAAAGAACACATGATATCTATACCTTTTATGTTGGTTTTTTTTAGCACAATGACAATGTAGTTATATACATAGTGCGCGGCCATATGGTGCACTAATTTGATGTGGAAGACTTATCATCCAGTATCTGTTGAAAAATGTATAAATCTATATTCTACATCTCATTAATAAATTACCTCTCCCTCCACTAAACGTGGACCCAATTATTTCACACAAGAAACCTTGCAAGTCCCACTTTATAGCCAAAATATTTGACATCCTTTTGCACTTGTTGTCTGTATTCTCTGAAGCTAAATCTTCTATAGGCAGAAGGTTCAGCATAACTCTGTATAACCGTGTCATAAGACGGACACAGGAAGTATGCAGTCGAGAACCTCTCTTGTAGCTTATTAGCCACAACCCGGTGGTGAACGCTTTTGTATACATTGTTGCTCCAAACCTGCATTCATTTTTAGATATTATTAAGCTACCAAACAAAAGAAAAGTAGACCTGATTTAGGAGGGATTTTGGCAAAAAACTGTAATTTAGGAGTTAGAACGATCACTTTTTTATATACCTGAAACAAATCTCCGATGTTGATAACAAGAGCCTCTGGATTGGGTTTAACAGCAATCCATTTCCCATCTTTGACTAATTGCAAGCCTCCAACGTGATCTTGGTGCAATATTGTGAGGAAATCGCTATCAGTGTGTGGCATTAGCCCAAAGATTTGAGGTGAAATTGGGCATGCTGGATATCTGTTCATTCGAATAAAGCAAGTGTTTTGCAAACACGTTTCTTTGAAGAATGTTGAGTAATTTTGACCCAATTTCTCCGCTAAAATTTCTGCCAACTTTTGTGCTAGCTCAGACACTTTTGCCGCAAATTGTTCCATTGTTAATCTGAATTCAGTAAAAGGATGGGATCAAAAACAATTTTAGGCATAACCTTTTAAAATCTCTAAATAAAAAACAATTTTATTTAAAATCAGAAACAGTTTTGAACAATTTTCGCCAAGCTTCAATCACATAACCTTTTAAAATCCGATTGTTGACGTAACGATCAACAAATTCCTCTCACTTGGTCAAAGTTTTCTCCATCAAAACTCATTATTCTGTTGCTCAATTGAGAAAAAGAAGAGAAATGACTATTTAGGATCAGCATACTATTCGTTATGCCCATTTTGTAGATTTCCATTCAGGCATGGAGTATAAATGGGTCTTTTTAATTAGTGACATATGACTGTCATTGAGACTGATTTCTAACTAAATCTTGTTATCTACTCACGTTTTATTCACCAGTTTAATCATTAAGTTTTTGTTCATGTATATTGGCTCGCATTATATATTTAAGGTGGCTGACAAGGTTTCCCCATTAGGACATCTCCAATAGGCTCACTCGCTATAATTAAATGCATTCAAAATATTTTAATTTTCAAAACTCCATTTATTGATCCAACTAAATAATATATACAAAGAAAATGAAAGGAAATAATATAATAATTTGGAAAGAAGTTGATGAAAATAAAAAATAGAAAAATTAATAAATATATATTGGAAGTAATAAAATTAGGGGTTGTTTGAGCTCCTTTTTTTTCAAAAAAAAATGTATTTTGCAATAGTGCTATGATGGCGAATATATGGTTAAAAAATAAGGAAAAGTTTTAGATTTACGTGTAATAATATTTTATTGAAGAATGTGGGACTGAAATGAGGTTAAATCACTGTTAAAAGATGCATTTTAATGGGAAAAAAATGGGGCGTTGAAAGAGAACCATGTCGTTTGAGTACTTAAAAATTTTAACTATATTTAGATGCTTTCTAAGTTACAAAATTTGCAGTGCTTTTAGTTCATTTTGAGTTCGTATGTACTTTTGGTTTCTTCGTAGTGTTTGTTAAATACTCTGGTTGAATATTTCGTATATAACACTGATGTAATGGAGAAAGAAACTAACTTTTCTGCACATGATATAAGGCTTGTGAATTACCTGAGAGTGCAGAGGCCACCAGAACCCAACATATCACTCAAAGACACGTGATAAGCTTCCGACCAAGACAGCTGCCTCAGGTAATTCGGTGATGGCGTCCCCCAAGTATAACTCCCGATCGAGAACTTGGGATCATTACCATTTGTCTTCTCATGAAATGGCTTCTTAAAAGCCTTCATTTGTTCTGTTCTCATTTTCTCCAATACTTGGCTGGAAATTCCGTGGTTTACAACTTGAAAAAAGCCCCATTCTTGGGAAGCTTTAGCTATCTGACTTTTGCATGCTTCTCTCTCTGAATCTCCAAGGTTTAACATGTTGAGATCAATTAATGGAAGTTCGCATTCATCAACGACTAAAAGCTCCACAGAATTCTTTGCTAATTCTACTTCAGTCGAATTGTCGAAGAGGTTTTTATATTTTTCTTGAAATGGTGGATCGGGGGATTCTTCTTCCATTCTTGTAGGCTGAAGCAGGAAAAATCCGTTGTTGAACCTAAAATTTAAGAAGAAATATATACTAGTAAGGTGAAAGTCAGTATACCGTATTCTATTGAAATGGACAACACAGTTACTGAGGGCCCGACGTTTTCCCTCTAGAGATTTCGAAAAAAGTCATCTTAATTTTTGTTTGGATCAACTTTCTGTGAAAGTTCTTCGAACTACCATAAGTATTTTCATAAAATTAATCAAATAAATTCAAAGGCAATTTTCTTTTATCTCATAAGTTCTTTTTGACTTTTCAAAAGCAAACGGGCCCTAAGTGAAACATGAAATGTCATATTTTGCAATATCCCTAATCTCTTATAATATTAATTAGCAAGGAGCCTTCAACTTGCTTTCTCTTTTACTCACAACTATTTTCTCTCAATTTGGAGCATCTTTTTATTTCTATCACTCCACTAACTCTTCCTTTCTCATTATATATGTCTCTCTCTCCTCACACATACACGCACCATACAACTGAACTTCTACTATATATAACTGTGCCGACTTTTCTGGAGGATTCTCTTAACGACGGTGGAAAAATAATGTAGCAAGCGTTCAAGTTCCTTCTATAGGCGGTGCTGCATCTTCAAAATCAAACTGCATGAAACAAACTAGATTCCTAAACAAAAAATGGTTTTAATCTGATCAAAATGATGTTCCTTGGAATAGCCACAGAAAAAGAGAGAGAGACAGAAGAATGTCTGAAAGGGTAGTAATCTTTGACATACGTAGATCAGAAAATAGCTTTTGAGTTGCCCTGAAAGATTGGAAAGTGGCCCGCATTTCATTATTGAATTTTAGGAACGTAGATGGAGATCATGTGATTTGAGCCCCCATTTTTCGTACATGACTTTTCGAAGAATATATGATAGTACAAAAAAAATTATTGAAAAAATGTATGATTGGAAATAAATTTAAAGAAAAATGAAGTTATATGAAAGGGGCTCAAACATTCTTAATTTTAATCATACGTTTCATGAGATCCACAATTTTTCAACGACGCATTTTATAAATTTTATCAAAATCTATTAAAATTTTGATATTTAGAAACCTTAAATAGGGGCTTTATTATCTTCTAAACTCATGATAATAGAACAGATAAATAGCGTTACACTTTAGAAAAGAACGTGTTTTTTATATTAAAATCAACAAAATATTTTGTATGTGTGTATATCATATTTCAATCTTTTTAAGGAAACGTACGATATTTTATTTTTGTCCATATTTTCTACACAGCATTCTGTAGTACATTTATTCTTATATGTATATTTTCCGTATACACGACAAATAAAAATATTCAAATAGCGTGAAGATCAAGAACGGATTTAAGATCAGACTACAAGTCGAACAAATATGTAAATATAAAAATAAATAAATAAAATTACACTAATAAAATGAAATGGACTGAGGACTGGATTGAACTACGACCTGAACCAATTCTCCTACATCCGTCACTGGTGAAGATCATAAGGAGGAAGAAGGGTCGTTCTATAAAATTTACCGGAATCCGTGTATCTTTTTCTTTTTGCAGACATGACATGAGATGCTTTTATTTTCGATGTATTGAAAAAAAAAATTGCTTTGTAAGTTTGGTCTGCCCTCCTTTTAGCCTGTCGATTGAGATTGTCACTCTTTTAAATAAAGCATTTTAAGTTTGTGTAAATTGAGTAATGCTATGTGGTGCAATCAGTATTTAGCACATGTTTAGATGGAATTCTAATGAAACTTCTCTTCTTAAAAGGTTGACCTTGTTAATTGTAATTACGCGAACGTTTATATATGTACGTATATTTTATATTTAGTCGACATGGGATTTATTGTTTAAAATGGACTCAAAAAATAGCTTTTTTAAAAATATCAATCTTGAAATTCATGCCCTCTTTTAAATTTTAGTTGAATCAAATTAATCGTTTGAACTTAATGATGATATTAAGGGTGTGTTTGTCATCCTATAAAAATTAAATTGTTTGCTACAGTATCATTTTTCCTCCACACAATCACACAATAAAATATTCTATAAAATTAAATTGTTTGCTACAGTATCATTTTTCCACCACACATTCACACAATAAAATATTCTACATACAAACCAATAAAGTTTCTTTAAATTTTAACCACACATTCTCCAAAAAAATACTATTCAAAACTTTATTCTTTCTCCCATAATGGGAGACAAACAGAGGCTAACATTATAATGAGATTTTGAAATAATAATTTTTTATAAAATTTTTACGTATAAAATTATTTTATTAAAAAATATGTAATTGAAAAGAAGATATAGAAAAGTGCATTTAAATTTTTATGTGGGTCAAACAATGGCTAATAATTAATGTTCTATC